CCAGGTAAACAGGAAGTGAGTCCACATGCAGGGCACTGCTGTGAAAAGCAGCACAGGGCAGCAGTACTATAAGAGAGCGAAACAGAGAAAGCTGGCCGTGACTCACTGAACATGTGCCACAAGCAACGAAGGGCATTGTGGCAGCTTCTAGGAAGCAGGAAGATGGCAGGAATAGAGCGCGGCTCCTCAGTTTAAAGACTATCCCTCCAGAATATCTTCATAACAAAAGACCCCTGTGGTTCTGGGTTGCTTTAGGGTCCCTAAATTCCACCCTCCCTCTCCCACAAATCCCTTTTCTCTACAAAACCGGCGAGTCACAGCCATAAAGAAACAAGCCTGTAAACTCTCGTGCTGGTGGAGCTTAGCCACAGACTACTCTGGTAAAAATAAGAATTTCTCTAAACTTCCAGGATCCCGGTTCTGCAAGAGGCAGCCTCACCATCGAGCTGCAAAGCGCCTGAGATTTAAGTCTCGGCAAACAACAAACACTTTGATAAAGAGGCCAAGAGACGGGATCACGGCGCAGTCCGAACACTCAGATCATCCTCCAGCTTTTGGTTGGAAAGGCCCGTTGATTCTCTGTTTCTCCATGTCTGTGGTCCAGTGAACGCCTGACCACATAGCCCTGGGCAGATACACGCGTCATTTTAGAAGTCGTACACAACAATACTGGGTTCATTTCACACTATGGGCTGCTCCAAGAAATAGCAGAGGAATCCAGGAAGAAGAACGACCCTGATGGTCCAGCAGAAATGAACCCGACCCAGGCTGACCCACAGTGAGGGCCGGCAAGCCTTCAGCACGGTACTGATATCCGCACAGATATCGCTGAGAGCGGCTGAGAGGAGCCCTAACGGGCCCTCGCTGTACGTGGCTGTGCTTCCATTCAGCCGCCACTCGACGTGAAGACGAGCGCCAGGCACAAAATTATTGATGTATTTCTGTATTTTCCCAGCGAGACGCCCCCACAGCACAATTATACAATCCGTTCCTGCCAACCATCAAACACTCGCTAAGGCGTATGTCGCAAACCGTCAGCTAGCCCCCACCGAGCGGCCCGCCGTTGCCGTGGTAGTGGGGTGAGTCACGGCAGAGCCAAGTCCCCGTAATGGTGCGACGGCCCGAAAACGCCCCGCAGCCCGCTGGCGAGACTCCTGTTCATGTGAGTAGAGTCACAGCACTTAGACGCCTGGACCTTCTCACGTTGGCTATAAATGCCGCTTGGATTTAACTTAAACACTGAACCGGTGATGTCCAGTCAGACACAGAGAAAATGGAACATTTCAAAATAAAAGGAAATGGACAGTTTACCCTGGAATACAAAAAAGAGTAGAAGAAGTTTATAGACCGTTAATCCGTGAGGTGGAACATCACACTGGTCAATGGATAGATACACAAACCAGCAAAGGAAAGTAAATTTTAATTCTTGTACTTCAGGGCAGGGTAATGTCCCCCCCACCCCCCCCAGGGAAAAGCAGCTTCTCCTTCTGCTCTGGCTCCATCAGCACGTACATACAGCCGCTTCGGGGATAAATGACCCTCATGAGTTCATTCTCTCCGCCGTGGATGCAGCGGCATGCGCAGCAGCGTAATGCAGGGGCGTCGTCAGTGGTCACAATGGAAATTCAATTGACTGCAAGTCAAAACGTCTGCATTTGTGACAGAGAACACGGACGTTTTCATAACGTGTAAAAAGAAAAAATGAAAAGAAAAAAGAAAAATCTATGCGCCACATGCATTATTCAGCGAATTTGATTTGGTGAAAAATGGCATACAGAAAACCCCCGGAACAAAGGACTGGAAATTAAAGATTAATGGATCTGATTCAAAAAGCTGAGATTTGCGGGGCTACAAAGACACCAAGTGGCTGTATAGCATAAAAAAAAGCAGCCACCCGGTGGCCGGGGGTGTGTACTGCATGGGTAAGCCGGGGACGGCTAGCAGTTTATTATGTGTCATGTTCCTGAAAGGCTGCACATTGGTGGAAAACAACATTGTTTTGCACAAAAAGCTAATTGTTCACAACAACACACAGCGGTATGAAAGGATTCAGCTATTCTACCCAAAAGAAAATCATTAAGGAAATTTGAAAACCGGTTGTTTTCTTGGGATCGGGAGGGGGGTGGTGTTTGACTCGGCCCGGTTGCATGCGCCGGTTCTGGCCGGATGGGAAGAGGGAACAGGGAGCGAGGAGGGGTCTAGCAGCAAAATGGCAGAGAGGAGTGACCTCACACGTCAGCGAAACAGCACAAGTGAGGAGGGCGTGCAACTCGTCAGCTGGCTTTGCCCCCCTAGGATGTCGCCCCCCCCCGCTCTCCCCCCTCCATCTTTTGGCATTTGACATGTCAAGCATCTCAAGGTGCCTTTGGAAAGAGCTAAGCTATGCATCAACTTATAACCCCACATTAGCAAGATAGAGTCGCCCACCGACCCCCACGGGCCCTCACCGGCCCCCACCACCCTGCTCAGGAGCAGAAGCTTTGAAGATACTTCAAACTGACACCTATCGTTTGACACGATCGCGGGGTGTCAAGGTGCTCAGGATGAAAGGATGGCTTTCCTGCCCCCCCCACCTTTATCACCTAACCACAAGGCAGCATGCAGTAGAAGGTATCAACACGGCCCAAACAGCAGCATTTACAGTGCCCAGGAAACTGGACCTTTGCGGCGGATATGCTGGGCTTCTGAATGAACCCCCACATCCCTAAGGAAGCTCCGAATCAGTCAGACAAGGCGGGACAAAAACACATATCTTACGAGATTCGACCTGGTCTCAGGCCGGTGGTCTGTCCCGCTCAAATCCCTCCTGAGTGAAGAGAGACCCGGAGATTCAAGCAACCCGGGAGCCAAAGGAGGCGAATCCACAGAGGAAGGCGTGTCGACCTTTTCCAGAAAATCACACTCCACCAGCGACGGGCAGCATCCGCCCTACGACAATCCCCCCACCAGGATTCAGACAGACTCTTTAATAAGAAATAAGCCAGCTACAAATGATACATTACTGATTTAAATATTGCAAGGTGGTGCTACAGCCCAGAAAAATTCCATGCATGAATAATGAGGGATAATTAAACTGCTCATCGTCATATGTGGGGAACCCGCTCGCCTGAAATACAGACTTATTGACACGAGCAAGAAAGATCATTGCAATAACACAAGCCTTTCTTTGTGCTGTTTCATTTCATACACTAACTTAAAAAAATATGTAGCGCACCATACCACACTATATTATTATCCTTATATATCAAACGGTATTACATTATTTCACTGTATACATAATTGAACTGCAATTAAAGCACTGAGTCTCTCACGAATTCATTTAATACTGTTCACACAATTTATAAGACCAATTAAACCATACAGTGAAGCGGTACCATGGTGTCAGGGATTCAAACACAAGCCCTACAGCACGTGTTACAAAGAGTACGTCAATTGGCTCCCCGTATCCTCTAAAGATCAAAGCAGGTCTCTGCAGAAATAGTTCACAGATACTATTGTAACTGCCACAAAAGTCACCACTAGGAGGCGACACTGAGTCTGCAGAATGTGTCTGTCGGCAAGTGAAGGCATCTGCGGTCGGCCTAGGAGCAGGGCCAAAGTAAAAGGTACAGAGGGAACAAGACCAGCGCAGCACAAACATGGAAGGGCGACCCATGGCACCACCAAGACAGGGAACAAGGCGCCGGAGAAGTGAAAGCATTCTCTTAATTCTTGTCAGCTGACTTGTGTTTTCCATTCACTTCGCATGGGCTCCATTGAACTTAAGATCAAAGCCGCAGCCATTCGCCCCCCCCCCCCCCCGGAGAGATCCTCACCTCCCCCGTACTTGGCTGCTCCATCCCTACCCTCCCCCCCCCCCCCTTCCCCCCTCCCCCCCCCCCCCCCCCCGGAGAGATCCTCACCTCCCCCGTACTTGGCTGCTCCATCCCTACCCTGCAGCTTCCCTTCACGGAGAATCATCATCATCTCATTACGCAAACAGCGTGCTGCTCCATTCTGGAACTGATTAGGAGTTGTAATTAACACACCGAGATGAGTGTCAGTGCGCTCCTCGCTCCGTTTGATGTGAACTTCTGCTAAGCGGGGAGACGGCGGAGCAAATGAATGAGAGACAAGCGGAGCAGAGCGGAGGGGAGGGGAGGGGCGGCAGGCACCCAGAGGGCAGAGCGAGGACGCGGGCGTGGGGGGCACCATCCAGAGGAGCGTGGTGCTGCCTTTGGAGATGCGATGGAGACTGCAGAAATGGCGGCTCCTCGCAGGAAATGCAGCTTTTCATCTGCATGCAGGTCGTGCAAAGATACAGAGGCGGAGGCTCTGATGGGCGATCCAAAAACGAGCCGACCCGACCAGACACCTTTACAGTGTACCTGACGGGGCGACGTCGTCAGACAAATCAATTGTAATCTGCAGAGTGTTTACTGTAGCAAACTATAAAGAGAGTCAGCCGGAGGTCCTGATTTCAGATAATACAGAGATTTGTTGTCTGATATCAGCAATTCAGAGCTGTGTTGATTATTAAATGTGCTGAGTGTCACCTCTGATTGGGGGTGGATTGCGGTGAGGAAATAAATATTTAACAGCAAAGCCTTTCTAGGGTTGGGAAGGAGATTTATAAAACATAAGCTAGTGAATGAAGCTGCTTTCTCACACATGGCACAATGTGGATTTCACTAAGCGTCATATGGAGTGATGCCTGAGAATCCAGCACCTGGAAGCACGTCTCGCGTCTGTACATCTGAGCTCATACGGCCGATGCCTGCTTTGGAGGCGGGCCTTAAGGTCTCCGCCCCCTTTGACCATGCCGTGGATTTCCAGGGCCGCGGTCAGGCTGAGGTCTAATCAAGTGCGAGCGGAGCCAGCAGGAGCAGCCAGCTGGCATCAGGATCAGAGAGGAGCCCGCTTCTCCTCGGAAATCAGGAGCGTCTGCTGCTCTGCGCTCAGCTGGGTCCGCTCGTCTGGACCGGCGTCAGCATCAGCTTAGCAGGACTTATGTCTCTTACCTGCCAGAATATGCTGTCTATCGTACTTCCAAGGAAGCCCTCTCGCGTCTCCGACGACAGCAACTTGGGTCCCAGTATTGTCATGAACTCGTCAAAGTCCACCTGGCCATCGCCTGAAATGGAGAACAGGATCATTCCCAGGAAAAGGTCGTCTGACACCTTTCCGCTGCCCATGTTACCAAAGCATATTCTAATGTGCTGTTATTTATTCCACGTCCAGTGACCCAAATCCCCTGCCAACGCCCGTCGAAATTCAGCCAAGAGGCATGGCTCGTAATTGCCCCAATGGGGCAATTATTTGGGTAATAAGCGAGCTCACCTGGCTTACCAGGTAAGAGTCGGGTGCGAATTAAACGGCACTTTGGAAGCCGGAGGGCACACGGTGCAGGACTGGAGCCAAGGGGATGTGAAGCAGAATGCATGCTGGTGACCGATACATGAGTCCGTCCCCGAAGGCAGCGGGAACGTTGTAGATGCCAGGGGTTCGCTAATGAATTATGCAACAAAGCCGACCCAATCCCCCCCACACCCCCGCGAGCAGCCTCCCCTAGTCTTACCGAATCAGTGCTCATCTCCACAAACCCCACTACTTCCTGTAAACCACCCTGCATTGCACCCACACCCACACCGGCACCCACACCCACACCCACACCGGCACCCACACCCACACC